GAAGATCGGTTCGGAGGCGGCAGCGTTATGGTATGGGGTGGGATTACAGCAAGACAGAGGACCCGTTTGAAAGTGGTAGAGGGAAATCTCAATGGACAGCGCTACCGCGACGAGATCATCGGCCCTGTTGTTCTACCGTTTTTGCATCGTCATGGCCCAGGCATTACCTTTGAACATGACAAGGCCCGGACTCATATTGCTCGACTTGTTCAGGATTCTCTTCAACAAAGCAACGTCATCCCCTGACCGGCTCGCTCCCCTGATCTCTCACCAATTGAGCACATGTGAGATGAGATGGATCGACGTCAACCACGTGTTCCACAGACACACCAGGAACTTCGAAACATGCTCCAGCAGATATGGACAGATATCCCACAGGACTTTGTGCGACGCCTAGTCCATTCCATGAGAAGAAGATGTGTTGCTTGCATCGCAACCAGAGGTGGACACACACGATATTGATTTGTAAATTGACATTTTGGCATGTTCATGTGTTTTTTTTTATGAAATCACGCATTTTCTGAAGTCAGTGTGGCAAATTTAACCATTTGAACACTTACAGTAGTCTTTTATCTGTTGCAAACCGAAATTGTTTCAGATTTGGTAAAAAACATAACTTTGCATTAAATCTTATTCAATGTCACAGGAACTTTTGTTGTTCAGTATATATGCAGAACTTGTTTGGCATGATTCGAGGTATTAATGTAGACAAACATATATCTATGCTTGTATGGTATGATTCGAGGTATTAATGTACCTAAGGCATATCTAAGGCAGACACAAGGTATGAACATCCGCAGTGAATGAACTACCGTGGACAGCCTTTAATTATTCAAGTTTAACAGCAAACAATAGAAGCAATGTCAGGGATGTGTGCATCATATCTCCTGAAGTGGGTAGTAACTGCATTGATTGCAGACAACTGGCCACCTTTTGTACACGTGACGGCGAGTGTGACCATACGGCATTTGTTTCTATGTTGTCTTCCCGCTTGTATTGCTTCAGTGTCTGCGAATTTTATAACCTCAGTGCTCGCTGTTTGTTTAACATACCACGTCTTTCGTTCATTAAAGCGGTACTGAACTCTTGAAATTTGGTAGCCCCAGCAGGTTTGATACAGGTCTCCCAAGCACCATTTCTGTGCTGGGGATAATTTTACAGACACCTTTTCACTGCATCTCGTTTTTATGTTAATACAAGTATAATATCAATTAAAAGAATGTATATACAAGGACACGGGTGTAGTCGATTGCAGTTCGATGTGGAGAGTTGAAACGTTGTATTTTCCCGATAACCACCACATGTCTGTATAATTGTAAATGTTTTTATACTTCGTGTCACGAATCAGAAACTGTGTGTCACGTCCACAAAACAGTTATTGTTTGTGACCTAGGCAGTGCAGAAACCTCGTTCCATACAGTGTACTCTATGTCTGTCTTTGTTTGATTTATATTGTTTTCAAACATAATATGCCTCGTAGAATAACAGTTTTCTACATTCGGGAAATAACGTTTTTTCTACATTTGCTAAAAACAATTATAATGGGTGGCATATAGTATAACCTATACTAAACTATTCTCAGCAATCGTGAAAAGTTTTTTAAACTGCCGAGCCTTAATTAATACACTTAGATAATGAATCTTCAAATGACTCCAGCTCGGACAATGCAGATTACTTTTATTCAACAATGAGATATGCATGTATACATGAGCCTGTTATAAATAAAAGCCACACAACTCTTTCCATAGTCATAAATACAAGCCACAAAACCTTTTCTGTTATCAAAAGACACGTCTGCTTAAAGCATAGTTCATGGTACTCTCCCAAATTTATCATATGCATGAATTATGAATTTGTGAATCACGATAGTGATGATACCGGGTTTTTCGCCTTAAGACATCTGTGAGGCTTTTGTGGCGTCAGTAGAAAGATCAAGGTCATGTGTGTAAACTACTGAAGCGTCTTCTCCAATGACCATTCCTGGACGGAACAAGCCCTCAGCAACCTATGATTGCCGTACAAAGTGGCTATACGAGGGCTGGTCAAAAAGTTTTAAGCCTCACAAACAAAACCAACAATTGTGAAAGTGTTTCTAATGTTATTTTTCAACATTATCTCCCTTCTTTTCAATAAACTTCTCATATTGATAGTGAAGTGTTTTTCAAATCCAATCAGGACATTTGTTATGAAGCCACCCCGAAAACCCCATTCACGGAAGCTTTGAGGTCATCGTTGTCGTCATAGCGCTTTCCACGAAGGTATTCTTTCAGTTTAGGAAACAGGTGGAAATCACTTGGTGCCAGATCTGGCTAGTATGGAAGATGAGGAAGCTCTTGGAACCCACATTGTCGCACAGCAGTCTTTGCAAGTCGAGAGGTGTGAGAAGAGGCATTGTCATGAATTAGTAGAAATCCAGCAATAAGCATTCCTCGCCGCTTTCCTTTGATAGAATCTCTCAGGAGATGAAGCAAATCAGCATAGTAGGCACCGGTAATCGTCGTTTGACTTTCTAAATAATCAACAAGGATCGCACCCTTTGGATCCCAGAATACATTGGCCATAACTTGAATGTCTTTCATGCCGGAGAAGTGGAATGATGCCATTTCATGGATTGACGTTTTGACTCGGGGTCATAGTGGTAGATCCATGTTTCATCACCTGTTACTAATCTCTTTCAGAATTTGACGAAATCCTCCTCAGTTAGCTCTATTTTTCCCTGGCAATGTCAGCTCGTTTTTCTTAAGATCAGAATTTAGAAACTTTGGCACCAAACGACCAGATATCGTATTCATATGTAAATGTTCATGAATAATAGTTTCAATAGATCCATGGCTTAGACCTGTGTCCTCTCAAGTTCAGCAATGGTAATACGTCTATCTGATAGTATACGTTTTTTCTATCCCATTGATTAAATCTTTACGGATAGAAGTTGAGGGACGTCCAGACCTTGGGTCATCATCAAGGCTTGTTCTCACATCCTTAAAGATAGCTGCCCAAACTTTAACAGTGGAATAGCTAGGGCACTGATCCCGATACACTTGTGACATGCGGTCATGAATTACTTTCATGAAAGTACTTTTCTCTGAAGTAAAAAACTTGATGACTGCACGGTAATCGTTCTTATCCATTTCTGTGTCCATTTGGACGTTCAACTGGCTGTCACTAATATACAAACTGCCTCAACAGACCAAATACACTTGTAATGAACTACTCAAACAATGTACTACATTGACTTGTTCACTTTGTTATGGCCAATAGTTGAAAGTGAGTCCGGCTTAGAACGTTTTGATCAGCCCTCGTATAAGTCGGGTGGCCAGGTTCGATGACTTGGTTGAATGTGTGACATCGTACCCTGACGGGCGGGACGTTGAAAATACAATCAATCACTGCTTTGTCTGGTCCAGAATAATTTATAGACCGTCGGCATTTAGCAATATAATATAATATAATATAATATAATATAATATAATATAATATAATATAATATAATATAATATAATATAATATAATATAATATAATATAATATAATATAATATAATATAATATAATATAATATAATATAATATAATATAATATAATATAATGGAACGTTGAAAATACAATCAATCACTGCTTTGTCTGGTCCAGAATAATTTATAGACCGTCGGCATTTAGCAATATAATATAATATAATATAATATAATATAATATAATATAATATAATATAATATAATATAATATAATATAATATAATATAATATAATATAATATAATATAATATAATATAATATAATATAATATAATATAATGGAACGTTGAAAATACAATCAATCACTGCTTTGTCTGGTCCAGAATAATTTATAGACCGTCGGCATTTAGCAATGTAATGTAATGTAATGTAATGTAATGTAATGTAATGTAATGTAATGTAATGTAATGTAATGTAATGTAATGTAATGTAATGTAATGTAATGTAATGTAATATAATATAATATAAATACTGCTGCTTGTAATATACGAGTCTCGACGCATATCAAAGAAAAGTGTATAATAAAGACATGACACTTTTATGGGTAACTTTTATGTAATATAACGGCGATTCAGGGCTACTTTTTGCCCTTTCATCAGGTGATGACGGGAAAGCGTTAGCCTTGAAACATCGCTACAAGCAATACATATATTGTTATCCATAAGTTCGTGTCTTCGTGTTCTACATACTTCTAAACGCCTTTCAAAGATTTGATTAGTGATGAAGTTACATTATTTGTTTATTTGTTTGTTACTTGACGCCGCCTCCGTGGTCTAGTGGCAGAGCGTCTGCCCGGAGAGCGTAAGGTCGGGGGTTCGATCCCCAGCCGCGTCATACCAAAAGACCTAAAATGATGGCACTTATTGTTACCCTGTCTGGTGCTTAGCGTTAAAGAGATAAAACAAGGACTGGTCGGCTCGGATTCAGTATACTCTGTCTGAGTGGGGTATTCATGTTAAACAGCGGCATGGTATCTCAGTGGGCGAGCAGCCTAGCACTATAAAATCTTCTTCCGGACTAGCAGACACACGCACGCACGCACGCACGCACGCACGCACGCACACACATACACACGTGCATGCACGTCGCTATATGAGTGCAAAACCAACTTGCCGCCGACGTTAAACCCCACCTCACCTCACCTCACCTCACCTCACCTCACCTCACCTCACCTCGCCTCACCTCACCTCACCTCACCTCACCTCACCTCACCTCACCTCACTTTTTCCTGCTACATGACGACGGTTTGTGAATGAGACCAGGCTCCGCCATCATGTGACCGTGCCTGCCCACCCGATCCATTTAGTTGCCTGTTACGACAAGCATAGGTTTTTCTGGTTCTACAAATGTTATTGACGGAAAAAATGAATAAATGTATGAAGTTAAATCATTCATGTCAACGGTTTTCAAAACGTTTTAATCTAACGTTTCCGTTAGGCCATAGACGTGACGAATAGATTGCGACGTTTATAATGGTAAATCTTTTTTCAGATTTGTCGTCAAGAGAGACACAGATGTTTGCATGTAGACATGCCGTCTAAACGAGGACGAGGACACGGTCAGAGTAGACAGGATTCCCTAGGAGGAGAACAGGCTCCCTCAACCCCGCTGAATACGCCGCATGCAGGGTGCGGAGGACAGAACAGTTCACACTTAGATTTACTAGACTCTGGTAGCCCTGAAAGTATCGAGGTAGATGTACCCGTTCATTCTCGTGACAATAGTGCTGAAACTAACGGTCCTTCTAAGGAGGGGGGTAGGAACGTCAGTTGCAGGGGGGAGAAGATGGGCGTGACGTCGTTGAAGACGTCGCTGCAATGTGTTGTGTGTGCCGATAACGCAAGCGGACAGTACTTTGGTGCCACCGTATGTTTGCCATGCAAGGTAGGTTAATTTTATGCAGCCTGTAAGTGGGTGGAAGGATGTTGTTTTACGTCGAAGTGTCCAATTCTCCCGCCATATCGCGAGGGCTATGAAAGGTGTCTCTCCGCCTTTCTTTCTCGGCTTAAACAGCTAATCCAGAGGTTGAAAGTCAAAGAGTCATGCCGTCACATACACCCACCCAAATACACCTCACACGCATCACACACACGCCCACCCCGAACACTCACACCCACACACACACACACACACACACTCACCCACCCACATACACCCACCCAAATACACAACACACACACATCACACACACGCACACCGCGAACACTCACACCCACACTCACCCACACACATACACCCACCCAAATACACCCACCCAAATACACCACACACACACATCACACAAACGCACACCCCGAACACTCACACCCACACTCACCCACACACATACACCCACCCAAATACACCAAACACACACATCACACACACCCCGAACACTCACACCCACACACCCACACTCACCCACCCATATACACCAAACACACACATCACACACACGCACACCCCGAACACTCACACCTACACTCACCCACACACATACACCCACCCAAATACACAACACACACACATCACACACACGCACACCGCGAACACTCACACCCACACTCACCCACACACATACACCCACCCAAATACACCCAACACACATCACAAACACGCACACCCCGAACACTCACACCCACACACCCACACTCACCCACCCACAAACACCCACCCAAATACACCACACACACACATCACTCACACGCCCATCCCGAACACTCACACCCACACACCCACACCCACACACCCACCCATTTACACCACACACACACATCACACACACGCACACCCCGAAAACTCACACCCACACAACCACACTCACCCACCCACATACATCCACCCAAATACACAACACACACATCACACACACTCCCATCCCGAACACTCACACCCACACCCACACTCACACCCACACCCACCCAAATACACCACACACACATCACACACAAGCCCATCCCGAACACTCACACCCACACACCCACACTCACCCACCCATATACACCCACCCAAATACACCACACAAGCACATCACACACACGCCCACCCCGAACACGCACACCTACACACCCACACTCACCCACCCACATACACCGACCCAAATACACCACACACACATCACACACACTCCCATCCCGAACACTCACACCTACACACCCACACTCACCCACCCACATACACCCACCCAAATACACCACACACACATCACACACACGCACACCCCGAACACTCACACCCACACACTCACACACCCACATACACCCACTCAAATACACCACACACACACATCACTCACACGCACACCCCGAACACTCACACCCACACACCCACACTCACACACCCACATACACCCACCCAATTACACCACACACACACATCACACAAACGCACACCCCGAAAACTCACACCCACACAACCACACTCACCCACCCACATACATCCACCCAAATACACCACACACACATCACACACAAGCCCACCCCGAACACTCACACCTACACACCGACACTCACCCACCCAAATACACCACACACACACACATCACACACACGCCCATCCCGAACACTCACACCTACACACCCACACTCACCCACCCAAATACACCCACCCAAATACACCACACACACATCACACACAAGCCCACCCCGAACACGCACACCTACACACCCACACTCACCCACCCACATACACCCACCCAAATACACCACACAAGCACATCACACACACGCCCACCCCGAACACGCACACCTACACACCCACACTCACCCACCCACATACACCCACCCAAATACACCACACACACATCACACACAAGCCCACCCCGAACACTCACACCCACACACCCACACTCACCCACCCACATACACCCACCCAAATACACCACACACACACACATCACACACAAGCCCACCCCGAACACTCACACCTACACACCCACACTCACCCACCCACATACACCCACCCAAATACACCACACACACATCACACACAAGCCCACCCCGAACACTCACACCTACACACCCACACTCACCCACCCACATACACCCACCCAAATACACCACACACACATCACACACAAGCCCACCCCGAACACTCACACCCACACACCCACACTCACCCACCCACATACACCCACCCAAATACACCACACACACATCACACACAAGCCCACCCCGAACACTCACACCCACACACCCACACTCACCACCCACACGCCCACCACAAACACTCACAGTCAAACCCACATACACACAGACACACACACGCCCCCAAACACTCACACTATACACAAATACACACGTGGGTGCAGATGACAGGTGCAATAGAATCGCCCACATACCGAATCGCCCACCACACACTTATCAACACACATACACCACACACACACACATCACACACACGCCCAACCACACACCCACACTCATACACCCAAACACTCTCTCTCTCACACACACACACACACACACACACACACACACACACACACACACACACACACACACACACACACACACGCCCATCCCAAACACTCACACCCACACCCACCCACATACAGCACACACACATCACACACACGCCCACCCCAAACACTCACCCACACTCACACCCACATACAGCACACACACATCATACACACGCCCACCCTAAACACTCACCCAAACCCACCAACACACACAGGCCCACATACACCACACACACATGCCCGTCCCAAACACTCACACCCACACCCACACCCACACCCACACCCACACCCACACCCACACCCACCCACATACACCACACACACAGCACACACAAGCCCACCATAAACACTCACCTACACCCACCTACACACACGCACACACACACGCTCTCAAACAGTCACATCACACATACACGCGCGAAATGATTTGCTGCAAAAAAAACAAATTACAAAATACAAATTGCTCTTCAAACTTATAATATATTATGAATATTTTCCTAAAATATAAGAATTAAGACCATGCAGAATTAAGACCATCCGTTTTAGGAAAAGATAAAGATAGGCTCTTCAGCAATTCATTCATTTAATTCATTCAGTTATACAAGTATAACCTTTTAAAAGTGTATTGGTATAACTGTCTGAACTTAAAGAGATGCAACACCACATCTGTTTTGACATTGGGGTTGTTCGTTTTGATCTTGGTACATATCTTTCAATATTTGATTTTCATTAAGAACTTGTGTGTGTTTAACTGTTGCATACTCTAATTTCCATAATCCCGTGTTGGCGCATTATTTAAATGGTATATTTATATACTTTACCTTTGTTTGTATTGAATACAGAACTCATTTAGCTTGAAAAACAGGAAATTATCAAGCAATAGTTTATTTGTTATTTTTATGTAACCTGTAAAGCTTCGTTACACCTATTGGTCATCTGTGTACATATGTCTATAACCTACCTGCACGCATTCATCGTGCATTATTTCTAAATATGTAAGTCTTTAATTTATTTTTTTATTTTTTATTTTTATATTTTATATTTCACACGCATAATAACTTATTCTGAATTGTAATGCGTTACATGTTAAAAAGAAGTTCAGTTGTTTTCTTGAGACTAAGTATTCGAGCAAACCCGTGACCCGGGTGGAATAGGCCTTCAGCAACCCATGCTTTCCATAAAAGGCGACTATGCTTGTAAGAGGCGACTAACGGGATCGGGTAGTCAGACTCGCTGACTTGGTTGATGCATGTCATCGTACCCCAATTGCATGTATCGATGCTCATGACGTCAGTCACTGGATTGTCTGTTCCAGACTCGATTAATTACAGACCGCCGTCATATAGATGGAATATTGCTGAGTGCTAAACTAAATTTGATAACTCCACAAAAGCGGAGCTTCTTGCAGAGAATATCGTAATTAATACTGATCCATTGTAGCAAAAGTTGTCATTAAGACATGAAACCTTTTCGGAGATAACAGCTTCTAAATTGACAAAAAAGTTCACGTCTTCATGTCGTTCCAACTTTTAAATGTCAATCGAAGACTAGAATACTTGTCCTGTTAATCATTCTTCGTTTCCACTGTCAGACAACTGGGTGTCTGGTCTGGTGTGACTAATAAGAGGGGACGTGTCTATTATTAGATTATTACTGCATTACATGACAAATCGACACCGATCTGTTTACGTAAATGGGACCCCGTCGAACAGCGGGCGTTCCCCAAAACTCGGTTTTGTATCCGCTCCAGTTCATTGAAAATATATATGATATATGATGTGTTTTGTATGACATGATTATTTGGCGATGCCACATTCCTTATGACTATCTTAAAAAATGTTTTGATTCTTGATAGATTTATTTTAACAGATTTAGAATCTCCCAATATCCAAATTTTGTAGATCGATGCTCATAATGTCAATCACTGGATTGTCTGATCCATACTCGATTATTTACTGACCGCTGTCATATAGGATCCGGACTGATGAGGATTCAGTGTATGTATGTGCAGCAGCCAACATACAATGTGTTACACAGAAGTAACCTTCGAACAAATTACACACGCAACCTCATACACAACATAAAAGCATTGCAATCTGCTACCTCCAGATGTGTTCTGGTTCGGGACATTGAAAACACACCATATATCCTTGACATACATACCTCCTGGGAGATGGAAAAAGTCATTCGCTTCATTTCATACATCTGTAATACGGAGTATAGAAGGTCATTGGCCTCTTTGTGCCTTTCTGGGGTCATGATAAACTTGATTAAGTGGAATTAATTAGAATAACACCATGTTTTTTGCAAACCGAGAAAGGTACTATTGTGTAGTGATTGATAAACACCTGATCGTGATATAGTCGGAATCGTACAAAAGACTCTGCTTTTACTTAATATTTCTTGTGATTGTGGAAATGATTTTTGTCTTGTTTAGTGACAT